CAGGTAGTAATACCATCACAGAGATATATATATAAGTATATAGATGTATGAGTGTATTAGAGTAAGTGAAGTATATATAAGTATAGCCAAGTAAGTGGAATAGGATGTAGGTGAGTTAGTAAATAGTTGAGATGATCATAATTAGAGTTAATAATATAGAAAGTAGAATGAGTAAGGATAGGAAGGAAAGGAAGGGGTTTAAAGAAAGGTGTGAAGTAGTGAAACAAGAGAGAAAGGGCATTAAAGGAATTAGAAGAAAATAATGAGAGAGAAGAGAGAGAATGGAGCACGATAGAGCAGAGAAGAGTATGAAGAAGAGATTAGAGACGAGAAGAGAAGTTAGAGAGAGAGAGAGAGAGAGAGAGAGAAAGAAAGAAAGAAAGAGAAAGAGAAAGACAGAGAGAGGGGGAAGGAGAGCATATGCCCTGCAATTATGTCTGGTATGTGTATTGCATATGTGCGTATATATACGTTAATATGTTGTATGTATTTATCCAATCATATAACTATCAGGAAGAACTAGGGTGCAGAAGAAGCTGAGAAAAGGGAAAAGGGAAGGGAAGGACAAAAGAAAAGCGAAAGAAGATAAAGAGACAAACCGAAAGAGAATATCGTATATTGAGGAGGGAGAAAAAGACTGATAATGAGTGGAAGGAGGAATAATTAGGGAGAAGATTGATGGATAAGGACAAGTGGAAGAAAGGAAGGAGAGAAAATAGAAGTAAGAGGAGGAGGAGGAAATGTAGAAAGAAGGAAAAAAGACGATAATTGCGGGAAATGGCGCAGTACGAAAAGGAAGTATAGGGAAAGGGGATGAAACTGAGAGGAAACAAAAGGTCTCGAATTATAAAGAAAGGGAAAGAAAGAGAGAGAGAGAGAGAGAGAGAGAGAGAGAGAGAGAGAGAGAGAGAGAGAAAGAGAGAGAGAGAGAGAGAGAGAGAGAGAGAGAGGAGAGAGAGAGAGAGAGAGAGAGAGAGAGACAGACAGACAGACAGACAGACAGAGAGAGACAGACAGACAGACAGAGAGAGAGAGTGAGAGAGAGAGAGGAGAGAGAGGAGAGAAGAGAGAGAGAGAGAGAGAGAGAGAGAAGAGAGAGAGAGAGAGAGAGAAGAGAGAGAGAGAGAGAGAGAGAGAGAGAGAGAGAGAGAGAGAGAGAGAGAGAGAGAGAGAGAGAGAGAAGAGAGAGGGAAAGAGGAAAAGACAGAGAGAGAGAGAGAGAAAGAGAGGGAAAGAGGAAAGACAGAGAGAGAGAGAGAACAGACAGGCAGACAGACAGAAAGAGAAGAAGAGAGAGAGGAAGAGAGAGAGAAGAGAGAGAGAGATAAAGAAATGGAGATAGATAGATAGATAGATAGAGAAGGCCTAGGACTATAAGGATTAGGAAAAGGGTTAAGGAAGATCGCGAAGTTGTAAGAAAGATTAATTGAAAACGAAAAGGCTTCTGGAGAGATAGAGAGAGAAAGAGAGAGAGAGAGGGAGAGAGAGAGAGAGAGAGAGAGAGAGAGAGAGAGAGAGAGAGAGAGAGAGAGAGAGAGAGAGAGAAGAGAGAGAGAGAGAGAGAGAGAGAGAGAGAGAGAGAGAGAGACAGACAGACAGAGAGACAGAGACAGAAAGAGAGAGAGAGAGAGAGATAACGATATAGAGATAGATAGATAGAGAGGGAGAGAGAAGGCTTAGGACTATAAGGATTAGGAAAAGGGTTAAGGAAGATCGTAAGAAGTTGTAAGAAAGATTAATTGAAAACGAAAAGGCTTTTGGAGAAAAAAACAAACAAACAAAGATCTTAAACTATAGGAAAAGGAGATAAGAAAAGCGAAACGTAAGAAAATGGAAAGAGTGATGATTGCGAAAATATAAGTAAAGCGGATTAGCGGAAACAGAAATGTCGAAAACTAATAATGAGAAAATGAAGACTTGGGCGAAGGAGAGAGAAGAAGAAAATATAAAAGAAGAGAAAATGTGATTGATATGGGGATAATGACAAGAAGAAAAGAGGAAGAGAAACACAAGGAGAAATAGGTCAAGAGAAAAGGGTGGTGCGGAGAGAGAGTGAAAGAGGGAAAAGGAGGGGTTACCGAGGAAGAAGAGGAGGAAGAGGAGTTGGTGGGAGAGGAGAAGGAGGAAGAAGAGGAGGAGGAGGAGTTGGTGGGAGAGGAGAAGGAGGAAGAAGTTGGTGGGAGAGAGAAGGAGGAGAAGAGTTAGTGGGAGAGGAGAAGGAGGAAGAAAAGGAGGAGAGGAGTTAATGGGGGAGGAGAAGGAGGAAGAAGAGGAGGAGGAGGAGTTGGTGGGAGAGGAGAAGGAGGAAGAGGAGGTGGAGGAGGAGTTGGTGGGAGAGGAGAAGGAGGAAGAAGAGGAGGAGTTGGAGTGAGAGGAGAAGGAGGAAGAAAAGGATGAGGAGAGTAATAGGGAGAGGAGAAGGAGGAAGAAAAAGGTGGAGGAGGAGTTGGTGGGAGAGGAGAAGGAGGAAGAAGAGGTGGAGGAGGATTTGGTGGGAGAGGAGAAGGAGGAAGAAGAGTAGGAGGAGTTAGAGTGAGAGGAGAAGGAGGAAGAAAAGGAGGAGGAGGAGTTAATGGGAGAGGAGAAGGAGGAAGAAGAGGAGGAGGAAGAGTTAGCGGGAGAGGAGAAGGAAGAAAAAGAGGAGGAAGAGCTGGTGGGAGAGAAGAAGGAAACAGAGAAGGAGGAAGAATTGGTGGGAGAGGAGAATAAGGAAGAAGAGGAGGAAGAGGAGGAGGAGTTGAAGT